CGCGCGCCTCGCGCATGCCCGAGCGGAAGAGGCCGCGGAAGAAGCCGCAGTGCTCCACCAGCAGGCTCTGCTCGGCCTCGAACAGCTGCCCGCCCACCCACACCTGCACCCGGGCCGCCGAACCTGGCCGCATGGCTACCCAGAGGCTCTCGTGGCGGACCTGCAGTCACCGTTGCAGACTCTCGGGCTCCTCCACAGATAGAAACACTTTCTGGGGAGATAAAAATATCTCCCTGGCTAAAGATAGTGCGGCTCATGTGATGGCGTGGCTGGGGGCCCAAAGGGCATCTGGAGACAAGTGTGGCTACTCATTTTCGAATGAGCCGTAATGATCATAGGAACGGCCGCTTGCACATCAGGCACTGTGAGGGTTGCATGGCGAAAGCTATACCATTTAGTGCACACTAGTCCAAAGCCAGCCACTCATTGTATTGGGTCAATCAGCTGCACAAGACCTCTTGAAAGTGCTGAACAGCAAGGATGTCACTTTGAGGGCCCAGGTGGGCCTGACCAAAGCCATAGCTATTTTCAATCACCTCATTTCCATGTGAAAGTTGGACATTAAATAAGGAAGACCAAAGAACTGATGTATTTGGATTATGATGTTGGCCAAGAGTATTGAAAGTACCATGTACTGCCAAAAGAACAAACCAATCTATCTTGGAAGAAGTATAGCCAGAAGGCGCCCTAGAAGTGAGGCTGGTGAGACTTAGTCTCATGCTATCAAAAGAGAAAATTCCCTGGAAAGGGACATCCCACTCTGTAAAGTAGAAGGCCTAGGAAACAGCGGGAAGCCTTCAGCGAGCTAGATTGGCACAGTGACTGCAACCGTGGGCTCAAGCAGAATGGTGAGGATGACACAGAACCCTGCAGTGTTTCTGTTGTCCACAGGATCCATGGCACCCGACTAATGACTGAGGCCGACGGCAACGTCTGTTTTACAGTATTGGGGCCAAGTCTGTAATGTGTTCGGAATCCTGCAGAGAGTTTACGTGACTGGGAAGAGGCACAGACAGGATTAAAACTAAGGTCACCCTATCGTGTCAGGGAGGCAAAAGAGGAAGATGCAGACATAGAGCAAAAAGGAGGGAAAGCGATACAGGCTAAACTCTGGGAGTAGAGTTCTAATTGACCTGGACCTCTGCCCCGACTCTGAGTGAGTCCCATCGGTTTTTGAACCGTAGTTGCCCTCTCTGTGAAATGCAGATTCTATCAATTCTACTTCTCAGATGAGTGTCCAGTAAACCCTGTGTGTGGACTACGCCCTGATTTTGGATGGGATTGGGAAAATGGTGTCGAGCCCCTGCTTGCTGGGGTCCTGATTCCTCTGTAGCCTTATGGTCTAGGACCTAGGGAGGGAAACATGGAGGCTGACAGGATCATATGTCTCTGTGTGGGAAGGGAAGGGCTATGTTTAGCTATACTATGCCAAAACCAAACCAATGGCCCTATTAGTAGATACTACCACGGACGGCACTGTTGTAAGCATTTTTCTCATGTATTGACTGCTATCAGCCTTCAAAAATCCTATAAAAAGATAGTATTGCTTTCTCCCACGTCATAGATATTAACTATTTATTGCCTTCAGCAACCCTACACATTAGATATTAATGACCCCATTTCATACCCAAGGTCATGTGGTTAGAAAGTAGCCGAGCTAGGCTTGGAATGCAGCCACTCTGATGTTATAGCACAAATTCTCAACCTTCCTACTGCTGGAACCCTTTAATACAGTTATGAAGTTATGCTACTTCATAACTATAATTTTGCTACTGTTATGAACCAGGTGACCCCTGTGAAAGGGTCGTTCGACCCACAAGTTGAGAACCGCTGCTCTAGAGCATGTGTGCCATTAACTACCATGCTTTACTGCCTATGTTACAAATGCTAGGCAGTCATCTGACACTGGAGCTAATGGTAGAGCACCCAGGGACACATAGGGCAATATACTTGCCCAGGGTCACATAGTTTGCAGCAGACAGCCCCAGACCTCCTGCTATCTGCCCCAGGGCACTTCTCTCGTGGCCCAGTACTTTCGTGGGTATTCAGCTAAGACTCTGGTGGGTAATCAGCTAAGATTCCAAAGTGTCCGATGGAAGGGCGCTTAGTGACTCGAGCCACAGGCTCTGCAGGATGGAATCTGGTAGTCAGCAGACACTCACTGCCCCATCTTCACCCAGAGCCCCACTTGGAGAGAATGGAGTTACTCACAGGGACCAAGAAGGAAGTGGGTGGGGGAGGAAAAAGGGATTGAGCCTCCTCTTAGATCTATATGCACAGACCTTCACATATGAGAAAGGTTCATGGGAAAATGGAGTAAAAAGATCCTGGAAAATGTCCATGAACTTTTGACAGCCCCTGGTTGGAGTCTGCAGACCCAACACTGAGGTACTTCCCCTGCCAGGGCACTCCCACTTGGGCCACTCCATCAAAGCGGGGCTGGGGCGCTGGAGTCACTTGGACGAGCCTGGGAAGCCAGAGGCCCCAAGGAAGAGGCAGCCAGAAATAGCAAGGACACTCTTGCCCGAGGGACCAGACAGGAAGAGGGGAGAGGATGGGGGAGGTGAACCAGAACCCCCTGGAGCTCCGTCTCAGGCCCTCTGCTGGCTCTCCTCCTTTCCTGAGGTCACACTGTCTGGAGGGCCTGGAAGACCCAGACGACAAGCCGGAAAGGCCTCTTTCTGGGGCTGGGTCCTAACTAGGTCCTTGTAGGTGTCCTCGGAGAGGGTGCCTGACTCGTGCCATTTGACAGATGAAGAAAGGAGGGGGCTACAGAGTAAATAAATGGCTTTTCCTTGGTTCTAAATGAGGATGTGGGTGGGACTGGGCCGAGCTCTGTCCATTGACCATACATAGGCCCTGCTCTCTATCCCTGACCCAGCTACCCTTCCTTGCCCACAATATCCTTGCCACATGCTTTGGGGGGGAGACGGCTGCCTCATGCATTGCTGAAGCTAAAGGGCAGAGTCAGGGCGGGGCTGACAGGGGTCAGGAGCTGTGGCCCAGTCCCTCCCAGATAGTTCATTCCAGGCACCTAGTAACTTCCAGGCTCAACCGGATGGAATGACACTGCCTTTGCCTCCACTTAGCTTGGGCAGGGAGAGTTTTTTAAACCCAGGGGTGCTGAACAGAAACGTATCTGAGGGTGGGCCGGTATGGCATGTGTCCTGGGAGTTTCTTGAAGGCGGGGTGGGGCACCACTGAGCAGTTTCTGTTAACCACTAGAGTTTTCCTCACCAGCTGTGAGAAATCATTCAGCAAGTTAAAACAAATACTTCTATATTTGAGTGCTTCCACCGGTCAAGACGGACTGTCTGGATCTTGCTCGGCTGAGTGCAAAAAGAGGAGAAACAGGAAAAAAGGACTTTGCACGCAGCCTAGAGCAATGTACATCTGGGGAAGCAGGAGGGCACAGTTGTCGTTTTCGTGTGAAAAGATGAGCGAGCGTGACTTGTAGTTTCCCGCTGATCTGCTGTGAAAGATGGGTGTCAGAGGTTTGGACGGGAGCCATTGTAAGAGCTGTTTCCCACAGATACGCCTCTGATCCTGCGGAAGCTTGTTCCCTGGCCCACTTTTCTCAAGTCCAGCCCTGATTAAGTGGGCGGGGGCTCCCCCCTCAGTAGCCAGGTAGTGGGGAAGGGCTCCACCAACGTGGGAAGTGGTGGCTGGAAGCCTGTCTGGCCACACCCCCAGGGCCCAGGGGGGTGTTGTCTGCAGATGGTGAGAGTCTCCTCCTCCAGGCCCTTGAGTGTCCCGCTGTGATTTGGAGAGGATAAGGCACTATCCTGTCTGTGGGCAGCCCACGGATTTCTCAGGCCCTGCCCAACCCCTAACTAGCCCCTTTCTCCACTTTGCAGATTAGGGGGTAGGGCAATGAGGGTGAGACCTCTCAGACTCTCTGAGCCTTTAAAGAGCACAGACCCAGCCCTGTTCACCTCAGTATTCACGGTGGGGACTCTGCAGGGGCCTGCTAAGGAAACTCCCAGCCTGATAGGAAAGATGCAGCCCTTGCGTTGGGAGACCTCCCAGTTGGAACGGGCAGGCTTGGCCTTGCTACTCATGGTGATGTTTCTGCACACAGGGTGGGCAGTAGCTTGCACAGTCTGAGCCTGGGGAAGGAAGAGCACTGGCCTACTCGAGGCCAGCTTTCTCTCTGGGCTCTAGTGCCGGAACTACCACTGACTTGCCAAAGTTACCCAACCTCTCCAGCCCTAGTTCTTCATCTGCAAGGTAGAGTTTGGATCCGACTTCTAACCCTGCCCAGCTTTGCCATCTGCATTTATCATGAACAGCCACAGAAGTGATCGTCATATTGTGCTTCCAGCAAAGTAGAGGAAATCATCATTTGCTTTTAGGGACCATGAACCAAGCACTAGATAGGGCCTTTCCATGTTATCTAATCCCTAATATTACCCCAAGTTTACGGATGAGGAACTCAGATCCCCAAAGTAGCTTATTCCAGGGTGTGGTGGTGACTGATTCTGAAGAAGCCTTCCAGCCCCCAGCAGGCATTTCTAGTTGCACGCAGACCACACTGAGGAGACTGAGGAAGGTGACTGGTTACAGAAGTGAGCTGGGCACTTTTCCATCTCAAACTAGAAGGGGGCAGGCTTTGCACCCTTACCAATCACATTCAAGTCAGCTTTGAATTAGACAGGAATTACGGGTCATCTCATCCCACCTCGCAAGGCCTGGTAGAGTCTCCTCTGCATGATGAATGCCTTTAATGTCAAGAGGCTTATTTGCCTTTAATGTCAAGGGATTTATTTCCTCCAAAAGCGGTTTCTTCTGAAGACGAACAGCTCAGAAGAGGAGTTTGTCCGCAAATTGAGCTAGAATCTGTCTCCTTGCAGCTTGCACCTACTGATTAGGCTGAGTTTCCAAGACTACAAAGCTGAGAACACAGAGCTTATTACATAGCTAGCCTGGCATCACCACGTTGTGAAGGGGCAGAGGCCAAGTTTGGCCCCAGTTGAGTCCGTGGTGGGCAGTGCAAAGCTTGCCCTCTAGTCCCTAAGTAGCACTGGTTATTGTCTCCCCTGCCCCCATCCTGAACCATTCAGTTCTCATAGGTGTGCGGCCAGCCCAGGGATGTGGCTGAAAGTCGGCTCCCACATTCTCTTCTCCTACAACTCAAAAGGAAACCATTGGCTTTTTGCTGGGCGGAGGATTCTGGCCAGAGGGTGTGATCTAAACAAATTCTTCCCAACACCTTAGTATTAATAACACCGACAGTTTACCAGAATCTCCCAGGAACACCAGAGGTGGAGAAAGTTCTCATATTCTGTCAGACAAGTCATTTTCCTTCTGGATTGAAGTTTTTCCCACTGGGCTCTGACCCTGGGCCCTAACCAGACGCTGCCTGTGGACCTTAGTTTCCATGGCTTCTCTTGTGGGTGCAGGGGGACATAAGGTCAGTGTAACTCCCCACTCTACCCTGAAGTTTATGCAGAAGGAGTATTCCACAGGGTTCGACAAGGGAGCAAGACTCTGTGAGGTCTGAGCCACATCACAGAATTTTGAGTTTCATGTCCTGTTCCTTTAGTAATTTTGGATGGGGCCACAGCACTCCAAAGAAGTGAGTTCCATTGTCTGAAGTCACCCAGTGAAGGTATCCAGGTTCCTGATGTAGACCCTTTGCCCTTTCTCCATCATTGCCCCGGGATCCCAAGGGTCACTAACCAGTCCCAGAAACCCTGTGGCAAAAGGGAGTATCAAGTTTACACAGATAAAGTGTACCTCCAGGACATTATGGTGAATGAAGTAAGTTAGACACAACAGATTACATAGTGTATGATTCCACTTATATGAAATTTCCAGGCTAGACAAACCTATAGAAACTGGAAATAGACTTGTAGTTGCCAGGGCCTGCCAAACCAAACCAAACTCACTGCCATCCCTACAGGACAGGGCCCGTGTGGGTTTCTGAGACTGTAACTCATTACAAGAGGGGAAAACCTCTTTCCCCTCTTCCATGGCAGGTGGTTTAGAACTGCTGACCTTGCGGTTATGTAGCCCAATGCATAACCACCATGCCAGGGCTCTTCCCAGGGACATGCACGGGGTTGTCTTTTGAGATGATGGCATGCTTAGGAACCAGGTAGACAGAGCAGTTGCCTAGTATTGAGAATGCACTCAATTGTTCACTTGAGAATGGTTAGTTTTATGTTATTTGAATTCCACCTCATTAAAAAAGCAGATATAAAACAAGATGGCCCATTTGCACAGTAGATTCCAACACATGCAGCCCACAGCCTCTCCTCAGTGCCAGGGCAGGAAGCAGCCAGGTGGGTTTCTTGGCGCTGGACCAGAAGGGCCAGGTAGGCTAGTCAGTAAGGGTCTAGGTGAGGTGAGAGGTGTGGCCTGGCTTCTTCACCGTCCAGGGTCCCTGGCAGAAGGGGATGTGGTAGGGAAGCTGTGATCATGTTGAAAGGGAAGACGTGGAGCAGAGCCTGGGGGGCGCCTGGAGGAAAGCACAGGAAAGCATTTCTTGGAGGTAGGAAGGGGCTTGGAAATTCAGGGAAGATTGGAAACATCCGCCCCTCTATCCCCTGTCCCCCGGGGGTCCTTTCGGGCCCGTCCTGGGGCGCTCAGGCCCTCACTACCCAGCGTGGTCCCAGTGGGGGCGCGGCCGGCAGAGGCCCCCCTCGTGCTGGAGTGGGGCGCACGCCTCCCGGGGGTGGCTCCCACAGACCTTACAAGGCGTGTGGTGGCGCCGGGCGCCCCGCCCGGCCGGCCCGCGGCCCCTCCTCCTCCCGGCCGGCGGCCGGGCCCGGGGGACGCGGAGCTCGCCGGCCGAGACCCACCGAGCCGGCTGCCCGTGCCAGCGGAGCCCGCTCCCAGCGCCCCGACGGGCGGGCGGCCGCGCGGCTCAGGGCCCTTCGGCCGAGGACCCAGTGTCCCTCTCTGCGGCGTCACCATGTCCTCGGTGTTCGGGAAACCCCGCGCGGGCAACGGGCCACACAGTGCACCCCCCGAGGTCAACCTGGCCATCCTGGGGCGCCGCGGGGCCGGCAAATCCGGTGAGTGGGGCTGGGCACACAGGAAGGGAAGGGACTAGGCGGGACCCAAGAAGCGGGGGGCATCTGGGTGGAGGGGACAGGTTGCTGTGGGCTTTGGGGCCATCACCTCGGTGCATTGCAAGTGACACGTGGCCTCCCGCCCCTGCGTGTTTCTGTTCACGCTGCTCTGTGCCCAGCGCCGCCATCTCCTTCCGGGGTCCGTCCTTGCCTCTCTGCCAGGTGGCACTGCCATCGCAGACCCTTTTATCTCCTCCTGCCTCCTGCCCCGGCCCCTCCCTCTAGTCCCTCTCCTGGGTCAGCGCCCCCACCTCCCAATGCCAAAGATGCTAATTTACCCAAGTCCTGGCCTCCCGCTCCTGGTTTCCGTGGGGGGTGAGGGAAAAGCCCCCTGGCCACTGCAGGGTGACAATAGAAGGCACTGGATACTGGGATTTCCAAGGGAGGGGTCACTGGCACACTCCTTGGCCTGATTCCGGGGGTGGGGGCTCTGGGAAAAACTGGATATTCTTATCTAATGGATTTCTTTCCAGCTGGGCCCTCTCTTGACTTTCTGGAAACACACAGCTCCCAGGAGCCTGGGACTTGCCCTTGACGAAGCAAGATCTTGGACTTCCATTGAGCTCGTGCCTTTCAGTACTGGATCTGTCTTCACCACTCCCCACAGCTCTCATCTGACTGGGACTTGGGTTGGGGTGATGGTGGTCCCAGGCAGCTGAAGGGGAGAGGAGGGAGGGGGAACTGACTTTCTTGGCGTCCAGAAAGTCTTTCTTGTTCTTTCGAGAAAGACCACTGCCTTTCTTGTTCATTTACAACCTAAGACCAGACCGGGCTCCGTTAGCGTGGGTTACCTTCCTCATGGTCCTTCTCTAAGACTCCTAGAATGTTCTCCTCTCCCACCTTTGAAGGCAGCTCGAGCAACACCCCCCCCTCCCGCTGATACCTCCCCCTCCCCCCCCCAGCTAAAACAGGTTCCCGGAACCTGCTTTTCCTACAGAAAAGATAGAACTTCTTCCCTCAGAAACGCACTTCGTTATGTGAGCTACAGCTGGGTCAGGCACTGGGGCAGTTTAGCCAGGGACTCCGCGGAAGAAGGAATTTAAATGTAAACATATGTATTCCCTGGGGATTCGTTTGCAAACTGACATGGTCCAAAATCCTGGGAAAGAATTCTTAAAGATCCTTCTTTAAGATATCACATCACTCTTTAGAGGCCAGAGTAAGTAATACTCGGCTTTACGAGGCTAAATTCAGAACAAAATGAGGGTGCATCTCACCTGGGGACACCTTCCTTTTTAGAGCTTCACGTTCTGTGGAGGCTGGAGGAGTGAGCCCGGACTTCCAAGCGAGAATTGGGCCCTAGACTGTGTTATGTAGGGTGCAGATCTTGTCTGGAGGGTTCCCGAATCTCCCCGAGATTGCCCGCCCTTAACTTGGCTTTCTTTTTGGCTCCCTTACTTCTCCAGGGTGGGAGATGTCTCCCTTCAGTCACGGTTCTGTTTCACTGGCATGACTCAGATTAAGTGACTGTGGGTCCTGACTCCTTACTCTGAGACTTCTCAAACATGCCTTCGGCTGGCCTCTTACACACACACACACACACACACACACACACGCGCGCGCGTGCTTTTCTTTTCATGAACAGATAGAAAATCTTAGGGTGGAACTGGGTAAACAGTGCTCTGTATTTCTGGCTTCTTTGGACCCTCCCACCCTGACCCCCACAGCTCATCAACCTTAGACAAGGCCTTCGTCACAGAAGGGGTTGGGCAGTCGGGTGGGAGGTGGGGGGCAGCAGCCAGACATGCAGGGGAGACTCAACCTGTTTCTGCTTCTTACAGCCCTGACTGTGAAGTTTCTGACCAAGAGGTTTATCAGTGAATATGACCCCAATTTAGGTAAGGATCTATCTAATCCTCGCGGCTCTTGCTGCCACATCTCTGTCAGCGCAGAGTTTTACCCCCATCCTACCCCTCATCTCGCCCAATCACCTCATTGGCGGGCCAGGCTGGCCCACTGGGCAGGGGAGGGAAGTAGTTACCAGGCTGACCCATCCTGTGGGGAAAATGGTTTAAGCTCAGGCATACCTCATGAATATTTCAGAATCAGTTCCAGACTATCGCAATAAAGTGAATGCAATTTTTAAAATGCAATTAAAAAAAACTTCCCAGTATATATAAAAATTATGTTTAACTCTACTGTAGTCTATTAAGGCTGCGTTATGAACAAGTCTGGAATACCAAAATAGGACACGGAGGTGCACAGTGTGCGGGAGCCTACTGTTGGAAAGCCGGTGCCATGAACTTCAGCAGTCTCTGTGCACGCAATACAAACAAAGTGTGCCCGCATTGACAATGTCCCCCTTTCATAGTCCACTGCACACAAGTTGGGGGTCGCTTCAATTAGGAGTGCGTGCAGAAGCTGGTTTGTCCCACAGTTTGAAGTCTGATGAGCTTATTAAAAAGAAAATATAACATAGCAAAAGTGTCACATCTGATTAGATACTGTTCTTGAAAGCGGTCACTTTGCATTTAGTCGGCATTTCCCTCAGAAAAGGTGGACAAGATATTTTGACAAATTCTTGAGGGGTGCTTCCTTCTGACCAGGTTTTGGTTTGATGGACATAAACACAACAAACCCAAAATCAGTCTCACTGCCCTGGAGTCAGTGCTGACTCACAGCGACCCCTGGGGGTTCCCGCCTGTCACAGGAGTGGAAAGGCCAGTCTTTCTCCCCTGGAGCTGCGGGTGGTTTCAAACTGTCGACCATGAGGCTTGCAACCCACTTACCACTACACTGCACAACAGAGGATGCACCAATTTAACAATTCAGTGACACTGGGCACATTGTTCGGGTTGCGTGACCTTTCTCGATATCCTTTCCCCAATTATTTTACTATCATGAATATAAGCTCACTGCCCTCTGAGCGTCTTATCCAACCTTTAGAGTCTGCCGTGCGCATGTGTACAGAGCTCTTTGTAAGAAGCACAGTACTCAAGGCAGATAGTTTGTTACTAATTGACCTAAACTATCATTTAGTTTAAAGATGACTTCTGTTCGGATTTCCTCAGAGCAATAGTTGTGGGGCTGAGGAAAAGGGGGCAATAATCCACACTAAATGACTCCAGAAAGTCTGGATTCCATGAGAACTTGGAGTTCTGTTCTAGATTTCTCCTTCTTTTGATCATGATCCTCCTATCGAATTTTTGATCCTTAACCAGTTCTTGAGTCACAAGAGAAAATTCATCTCACTTGATCACGGCATCGTGGTATATCGGGAAGAGGGATGCACTGGTATTTGTCAGAACAGGATCTGAATCCTGACCCCGTCACTTGCCAGCTGTGCATCCCTGAGCCGTCACCTAGCCTCTCTGAGTTTCCGTTTCTTCATCTGTCAAGTGGACATACAAATGCCCGTCTTGGAGAATGACTGTGTTAGAGAGATAGCTGATACAAAACATCTTGTGAAACACTTAGTCTGCAGCAGACAGTGCATGTTCCTGTCCCCTTTCCTCTCCTTCCTGATATGGTTCCCAGCCATGGTAGCTGCTGATATATTGCCAAATAAATCAACGTGTTTAGAAATCGGTTTAAATTCCTCAATTACCAGGAATTTTATGCCAAATAACTTCTTATATGGAGCCGCAATGTGTACAACAAATGAAAGTGTGCTTTTGAGCATAAATGTAAAGTTCACATTTTTATATTTACTCATTGTAAACTACTGAGCACAATTTACTCATTGTAAACTACTGAGCTTCTGTTTCTTAGAGACTTTTTTTTTTTTTAGGACAGTTTGCAAAAAAGGTGTGCAGAAAGTATAGAAAGTTTCCCTGGGCTTCATCCACCCCTGCACTTCATTTCTTGTGTTGACATCTTGTTCTCAAGATGCATTGTTATAAATGAGGAGCCAATATTGGTTTCTATTAGTAACTAGAGCCCGCAGTGTGCATTCGGGTCCACTCTCTGTGCTGTCATGTGCCCCCAGTAGAGCGTCATACAGTACCCTTTCACTGCCCTAAAGGTGACTCAAGGATTTCATTTTGTTTGGATCCATATGCTCATGAAGGCAGTTATCCAAAAAATCAGCTGGTGCAGTTCATTGAGCAGATCTGCTACACAAGACGATTCGAATTGTTGAAGAGTAAGTTTGAAGTCTCATGGGCTTCTGTCCCAAACCATGCTATTATCAACAGCCTCATCTGAATGTTTAAGTTAGACAATAAATAAGGAACACCAAAGAAGTTTTAATGCAGTTAAATTATGGTGTTGACAAAGAATATGTCTGTCAGAAAAAACAAACAAACAAATATTTCTTGGAAGGCATGTATCCAGAATGCTCCTTAGATGCAAGGATGTAATACTTCGTTTCATGCTATGGACATGTTCTCAGTAGAGACAGGTCCCTCATTTGGCCCAATAGAAGGTCAGTGTAAAGAAGGGAGACTGTCAAGGAGAGAGAGGAATGCAGTGGCTGCAACAATAGGTTCCAACATCACAATGACTGTGAGGGCGGCCCAGGCCCAGCCAGTGTTTCTTTCTGTTGCACACACAGGCTCACTGCGAGTTGGCACTCGCCCAGGCACACCTGACCATGCAACCACATAGGGGTTGTGATTACAAAACATATGACTTGTAGGGTGCACAAGTCAGTCTATAACAATACAGGATAAATCCACAAAATTGTATACATGCTCCCAATATGTCCACATGCGAACATATTATATAAGAAAGAATTCAGCAAGTTTAAATTCAAACATGCTACCATTTTTCCCAGTCCCAGTCAAAACCCAACATCAAAAGCAAAATTACCATATAGTAAATGAGAATGCATTTTTCCTCATAGGTTAATTATTGTATTTATACACCTTTATTGTGTAAATTTTATTTTGGGTCTAAATATCTTGGTGCATATTTACAATTGCCTTGAAAATACAGGGTTTAATAACATGAGCTGACAAAGTGAAAGAATAAAACAATGATAAATGCCAAAAAAAAAAATGCCCTGTGCCCCACCCTCTTGATCAACTGGCTTCGTTCCGTAGTATGATCTTATCCTTTTTGAAAATGGGGGTTACAAAACTATTTATAGGCTTTCCTTTTTTTGTCATTTTTTTGGTTTTGTTCTTTTGTTTTGCTCTGTCTTGTTTTTGTGCTTATTACTGTCTCTGCATGTCTATCTAGATAAGATGGGTGGGATAAACAATCTGGAGGATAAGACAGTGGGACCAGCAGTTCTGGGAGGACATGGGTGAGGGGAAGGTAGGGGAAAGGAAGTGGGTGTTAGCAAACCCAGGGACAAAGGAACAACAAGGGATCCAAAATCAGTGGTGAGGAGGCTGTAAGAGGCCTGGTAGGGCTTGATCGAGGGCAATGTAACCGAGAGGAATTACTGAAACCTGAATGAAGAGCAAACATGATGGTGGGACAAGAGGAAAGTGAAAGGAAATAGAGGAAAGAACTAGGAGGCAAAGGACATTTATAGAGGTCTAAACACAGGCATGTATATATGTAAGTATATTTATATATAATGATAGGAAAATAGATGTACAGATATTTATATGTTAAGTATTAAGGTAGCAGATGGACATAGGGCCTCTACTCAAGTACTCCCTCAAGGCAAGAACACTTTGTTCTAATAACCTGGCATTCTGTGATGCTCACCTTTCCAACATGATGGCTGAAGACAAAATGGGTGCATAAGCAAATGTGGTGAAGAAAGCTGATGGTGCCCCGCCATGAAAAGATATAGCATCTGGGGTCTTCAAAGATGGAGGATAAACAAGGGGCCATCTAGCTGAGGAGCAACTAAGCCCACATGGAAGAAGCACACCAGCCTGTGTGATGATGTGGTGTCAATGGGATCAGGTATCAGGCATCAAAGACCCAGAACAAAAAAGTCATATCAATGTGAATGAGGAGTGGGGACCAAAGCCCCTCTGTAGACAGTTGGACATCCCCTCACAGAAGGGTCACAAGGAAGAGACGAGCCAGTCAGGGCGCAATATAGCACCGTTGAAACATACAACTTTTCTCTAGTTCTTTAATGCTCCCCCCCACCAACTATCATGACCCCAGTTCTACTGTACAAATCTGGCTAGACCAGAGCATGTACACGGGTACAGATAAGAGCTGGAAACACAGGGAATCCAGGACAGACAAACCCCTCAGGACTAATAATGAGAGTAGTGATACCAGGAGGGGAAGGGGAAGGTGGGGGGAGGGAGGGGGAACTGATCACAATGATCGACATATAACCCTCTCTCCCTGGGGGATGGACAACAAAAAAATGGGTAAAGGGAGACATCGGACAGTGTAAGTCATGGGGAAAATTTTTTTTTTTAATTATGAAGGGTTCATGAGGGAGGGAGGGTAGGGAAAGGGGAACAATGAGCTAATACCAAGGGTTCAAGTAGAAAGAAAATGTTTTCAAAATGATGGCAACATATGTACAATTGTGCTTGACACGATGAATGGATGGATGGATTGTGAGAAGAGCTGTATGAGCCCCCGATAAAATGATTTTTAAAATTTTTTTTAAAAAGAAAGAAAATGGGGGCTACAATCTTGGATTATTTTCCCTACTCATAGAAGTTGACTAAAACATCTGTGGGGCACCCCACGAGCCCTCCGAGGAAACTCAGTGCTTGTGGGCGTTGGTCGCAGCCCTCCATGGTATGGCTCTGTCTGCAGCAAGCTGGTGGGGCATAGCTGCAGTGCCTGCAGGAAAGCACTCCTGAGCCATTCGTGCCCACGAGCCTGCCAGCTCAGTCTGCAGTCCTAGTCTCCGAGCTGGAAGGGCCCTGGGATTATTTAGTCCTATGGCTCTTAGAATGTTTTTCCAGAAGTAACAGAATCCCTTCTTCCAAGGAGATCTTAAGTAGAAACTCAGAGAAAACAAGGGCGTTCCCTGAGTTAAGGCAAAGGCGCAAAGCAAGTTCTTCTGGGATGACAGCCTAAAGGGATCGTCCCTCCCAGGTTCAGTTTAATCACCTTTGTAATACAACGGAGGAAATAGGCCCAGGAAGCTGGGATCTCCTGACCTAAGTTACAAGTAGGTTCGATTAGCAGAGACCAGCGAATCGAGTGGGACTCGGGATGACTGTGTGGTGGCTGACTCAGGAGATGCTGGGAGAGGTGAGAGCATGAATCAGTCTGGGTGGGAGAATCAAGGACAAGAGGGAGGTGGGAGGAGCTGGAAAGAGTGCTTGGAAAAGGCAAGGGAGGATTCCCAAAGACAGATTCTCAGGACATACTTATGCTTAAATCATTCATGGTCTAGCTGAAATTATAAAATGTAGTTAGGGATCTTGTATATTATTTAATAACCCCCCACCCCGCCCAGTCTCTCTCTCCCTGTTGACCTAACCCACAGCCCTCACATTGCACTCCGTCGGAGGGGCCTTTGTCATGTTGGTCACCGCCTCCTGACCCTTTTCTTGTGTAGAGAAGGGTCTTAGAAGTTTGGGAATAGAGTCAGCCATGAGGCAGACACTGGTGAGATGACTCTTCATCCTTTTCAATATTCTTCTAGGAAGTTGAGTTCATTTGGGGGAGCCCCTTGATGGTGGAGATTGGTTTTATTCATCCCCATGTTACCACTTGACCCAGACTAGGCACAACATAGATACTGTGAATCACAGACTAAGTTTTACTTTCAGGATTACCCTTTAAAGAAGAATTCCTGTGATGATTCCCATTTTACAAGTGGAGAAATGGAGGCAGAGAAGGCTGTTTACCTAGGATCACAAAGAACCTCAGGTGTGAACCTTCTTGGTGAGAGGTTCTTCTCGAATCCTCCATGTGAGTGAGCTAGGAGCAGCATGGAGTTAGAGATTTGTGTGGTGCTGGGCTCTCTAAGCCTCAGTCTCCCCAGGAGGAGGATGAGACTAGCTGGCTGTGTACCATCTGCGGGAGGACAGCCTTGTTTTGGATTGTAGTTGGTAGAGTTGCACTGATCAATCCAGGGCCTCTGAATAGGCTTTGCCTTTGCTACTCCCCCCCACCCAATACCACATTAGAGGGCCTGGGGCTCTGCTGGGGTGTCTCACCCGGTGGGCCTCTGATATTGTGAGGACTGAGAGCCAGAGCAACATCTCCTAGACGCTGCCATGCCTAGCTGGCCTGGGAACTTCTGGTTTCTCTTGAGGCTATTGTCCAACTCTGGATTCTGTCTAGAACAAGCTAGAGGACCAGTTGATCCAATAGGACAGCCAAGCCTACAAGACCGGTGTTCAAATTCCTTCTGCCAATGGAGTGCTAGGAGCCCTGGTGGCACAGTGCTTACAAGTTGGGCTGTGATCTACAAGGTTAGCAGTTCGGCACTACCAGCCACTCGGTGGGAGAAAGACAGGGTTTTCTACTCCCGTTCAGAGTTAGTCTCAGAAATCCACAGGGCAGTGCTACTCTGTTCAGTAGAGTTTTTTAGGGCAGCTCCGAGTTGGCATTGACTAATGGCGGTGAGTTTGGTTTGATAGGGTGCCGTGTGGCCTCGGGCTATTCCTTATCGTTGTTGTTTTTCGACAATGGGGTTAACTAAACTCACTGCCATTGAGACAGTTCTGACTCAGAAGGCCGTGTGCTGTACGGGGCTGGGAGACCAGGCATGGGGGGGCAGGCAGAACAATGCTCGGTTTTGGTTTGTTTCTTTCTTTTGCCAGGGCATGAGGGGTAGGTGTGTGGCGGGGCAGGGAGTGGGAGCAGAGTGCTGAAAAGGTGTCTATCAGACAACTCTGGCGTTAACATAAAGAAAAATCTGCACAAGATGTAGGCGTCTAGGGACAGCTCTCCATGGGCCAAATATAGTTCGATATTTGGAACATTCTTTCCGTTTGAATTTTTGTCTTTGCATAAGAGCAGCTATTTGTCCAAGTCCCCCAAGCGGGCTGGGGACGGGAGCTGTCTGTGATTCATGCTGGATGCTACAGGGCCTGGAATGTGGCCCGGTCCACAGAGCAGTGTTTGACTGCGGATCCAGTGCCCGTCTGGGGTGGCCTTCTCACAGAGGAATGCTGCCAGGAAGGCAGGGGCCCACTTCTTTCGAGAGGGGCCTTCATCAGGGTCACTGGGGGCAGGGAGCAGCCAGGAAAAGGCAAAGCCCAATGTACACACATCCATGGACCCAGGGCACGGCAGGGAAAGGGGAGAATGGTGGCCAGGGTGGCCAGAGGCCTCCTCTGTGTGCCTGATTCCTCTACTGCTTTCTCCTGTTTGAGGCCATGAGATGGATTTAGAGCAGCAGTTCTCAACCTGTGGGTCACGGCCCCTTTGGGCTTGAACGACCCTTTCTCAGGGGTTGCCCAATTCATAACAGTAGCAAAATTACAGTTATGAAGTAGCAACGAAAATAATGTTATGGTTGGGGGGTCACCCAACATGAGGAACTGTATGAAAGGGTCGTGGTGTGAGGAAGGTTGAGAACCACTGATTTCGAGGAAGGAGAGAGGAAGGGCGGGAGGGGCTGAGGGAAGGAGGGAATGAGAATTGAGAATGAAAACAGTAAGAATCCAAATAAGGCCAGGCGTGTGCCTATCACCCCACCGACGCCTGCTTTGACCACTGCACCATGGTGAAGCAGGGTGTTATCACTGGGGGCTGGGCCAAGGGGTCACAGGAACTCTTTGTACTATTTTGCAACTTCTATGAAGTCTAAAACTATTCCCAAATAAAAGGTTTAAAAAAAGAAAGAACAGATGAGCCTGCCCAATGACAAACTGTGGCGCAGCCCAGCTGTCACGACTGCTTCCCAGAGGCACAGGGACTCTTTGCACAGGACGAGCTAGTGCAGGCCCTGCTCCTAGCACGGCGCCTGTCCCAGAGGAAAGGCTTGGGAATGTGAGCCAATGCTCTCACGTTCTTCTTCCATTTTGAAAGGCAGAAACACAGCCTCAGATGCCATGGCTGACTGGGCCTCCCAGCTCGGCAGCACCCCACATCTGCCCCCAAGCCAACACCTGCGACCAAACCATGCTCCTCTGCTGAGAGGGTCATGCAGGTCATGTCTAAGGCCTTCTGGATGAGACCCACCCGGCCCTCCTCCTTCCATCTGAGCTCCTTGCAGCAGGCAGGCAGCTCCTGAGGTCCACACCATTTGCTGGGGCCACGGCCATGCTCCATGCTGGCTACCCTGCCTGCTTGGTGACTTTGTCTCAGAACATAATCCCGTGCCCCAAGGCATGCGCTGTGGAGCATGAGTGACCTCTGACCCTGTGAGTAGTGTCTCCTAGGTGGCAGGTTCTGCCCCCTGTGCCCTCCATGTGGATCTATGACAAGACCCTTCCCTGGGTCCTAGTTCAGCCAGCCCCAGAGTAGATTCCAGAAACCCATCCTAAGGCCCCACAGGGCTCAGCACAGAGGCAAGATGGCTCAGACCTAGTCTTCCGGAGAGGTGACCTGCCTGCCTCTGACCGAGCTGGGTGTCTGTGTTGCAGAGGACACCTACAGCTCTGAGGAGACCGTGGACCACCAGCCTGTCCTCCTGAGAGTCATGGACACAGCAGATCCGGTAACTGCCCCTCATTCCCAAGGGGTGCTGAGTCCATGCACTGTGCATGCCCAGCACGGAACCTCAGGGGGAAGCTGTCTCTTTTAAGGTCCACTTTGCTCTGTGACCCTGACCTCTCTGGGCCTGAATGGTTTCATTTGTCACATGAGAAGGGGTGGGACGGGCTGGGGAGGCCTGATGGTTGCTGCAGAGCCCCCCTCTACCCCTAGGCCCTGTGAAGACAGGCACAAATGCATGTACATGGACCCTCTTGGCGAACACGCCTGGATCAAGCCCCTCCCACTGCCATGCACACAAGCATGCGCTCACACACACTCGTACCACACCTCCTCCCCCTCGCCCAGGCTGGATTCCCGTTATTCTCTGAAGCCACAGGGCTGCGCGACCTTGGTCCCACAATGGTGGTGCCCAGGGATGGCCGGGTCTCCCCAGGAGCCATGCCAGAGGCTTTGGCTCTGTGTCTGACAGGCCAAGGTCTCCAAGCTCCTAATGGGGTGATGGAAGGGACATGAGACAATGTCCCCTTTCAGGCCAACCCAAGTTCACCCCGAAATGGCCCTTTGACAAGGGCTTTTCCAGGGAGCAATGTACAAAGACCCTGGAAGGGGGCAGCTCAGGTGAGGCCTTTACCCTGACCTTCCCTGCACCTGACTGGGGGCCTCCCTCCTCTGCCTCAGGACACACCCAGGAACTGTGAACGCTACCTGCAGTGGGCCCATGCCTTCCTGGTGGTGTACAGCGTCGACAGCCGCCAGAGCTTCGAGGGTGGCAGCAGATACCTGGAGCTGCTTGCGCTACATGCCAGGGAGACCCAGCGTGGCTTCCCAGCAGTACTGCTGGGCAACAAGCTGGACATGGCCCAGCACAGGTGAGCACAGGTGCTGCCACGCGCCCATAGCCCACCTGCCTCCTTCATGAAGGGGGGCACTGACATCAGGGACTTTTTGACCGCCAAGAACAGCTGATAGCTGCCTTCCGGTCAATCCAGCCGTGAGCACAGAGTAGGCCGGCTGCAGAGAGAAGCAGGTGGCCAGGGCTGTCTTCACAGGTCCCCTTGGGTGGCTTTATACTTTCCACCTTCTGGCTAGGAGTCTAACCAAGAATAACCCTAACTCATGCTCGGCCTGCAAGTCAGTTCTCACTCCCACCAGCCTATAGGACAGGGTGGAACTGCCCTTCTAATTCAGGTCCAAGGCAGCCAAGGGCAAGAAGGGAAGAGTACTTGGGGTACACAGGAACCTCAGCGTCAGAAGGGAAGCCACTCCTTTCATCCCTCTGGGACCCCCTGGGTCTCTCTTGGCCTCACCATTTTGTGCCAGAGTCTCTGTGACCTTCCATTTCCACTCCCAAGGCTGACTCGGTGCCCAGCTCCAAAGCCAGGGACAGAGACTGACTGGCTGCTCTGGGCTAAGTGTCTGCTCTCACCTCACTAAGCATGCGCCCAGGCTTTCTCTCAGTCACCATGCTGGAAGCAGGTTCTCAGACTCCGGGTAGAGTTGGGTTTGAATCCGAGGTCACAGACTGGGCCAGAGGGCAGATTACCACAGAACGCTATAGTCGTATTTTGCTTGGCTGGCACCCCTTTTTTAAAAACATGGGATTGGAATGTTTTGGAGGTAGAGTGTGTTTACTCCCTCTGACCACAGGCCCCATCCCTCCCTGCCAATGGTTGGCCTCTACCCTCTCGCCAAACCCAGTTGCCTGCCTGCCTCCTCGGGGCATTTGAGACTGATACCTACATTTGAAGAGCAGTCCCTCTGGACTTCAGGATTCCTACCATGTGACCACTCCACCAGCCAGGGAGGAGGGGCAGGGATGCATGTGTACCAGGAAGGGATGTGGCTGGATATAACCTTCCTCTAATTAGGGGCAGGGCCAAGCATGGGAGACCCTCCCTGCTCACCCCTGCTGCCTCATGCCCCCAAAGTTCACCGATTAAGTGCCAGCAAGATGGGGACCCTTTGCTTAGAACCAGTCAGATAGGTGCTGGAAAGATGGAAGGGTGTGACCTCATAAAGGAGGGGCCACAGTCCTCAGACCAGTGACGTCTCTGGAATGAGGACGTTCCAAGTATCGTCTTAAAGCCATCGAAGGTGGTCCTTGAGGAATCACAGAGCACGAGAGAGGGGTGAGGAGATTCAACATGGAAAACAGACTACAGACCACTGACTCTAACCCTAATCCTGGCCAAAGGAACTGTCTCAGACTTTGGGAGCAAATAACAATGGGCACAGGGCTCAAGTCCACTGCAAACCAGCGTGACAGTGCACGCCATGCCCGCCTTTGGCCGGGCTCTGGGGTGGGTGGATCAGGAGTTGGTGGGCACGGGAACTATCACTTCTGACCCAGTCCTTGTCAGTGTGTCCCGTAAGTGGCGTGGCAGAGCTGAGGTTCCTAACCCACGGGTAACGTTCTCACCAGCTTGCCAAAAGTAAGAAAAAAGATGTTCTCTGTGTGTGTCACCTATTCACGCCTGTGTGTGTGTGTACATGTGGGGGCCTCGTTTCTGAGTACCCATTCATCACACTCTCTCAGTGCCAAAGTCACAGGTTCAGGCTCATCATAAAAGCCAATAATACAAGTATTCTTTCAGAGAGGTTCCTCGGGACATGGGTGGGAAGTAGATTGGGTGCTCTGCCCTAACCCTTGTACACTCTTTTGCTACCTGCCCCACCTCCCACCATAGGTCAGTACCTGGGGCAGAGAGGCCCCTCTTGGTCCCCTGCTCCTGTCAAATTAACCCTGATGGAGAAACCTTTTCCTGGTTCAGACACACCAGACTCTCCCACAGAGAAAGGTCAGCCCTTCTATTCGTGTAAAATATTTACAGCCTCAGAAACTCTGTGTAGGAACGTGTTATTTTCCCCCCCTTTCCCCCTGTTGTCCTGACTGTCGGTTATTGAGGCAGCTCAGCAGTGGGTGGTGGCCAGGAGGTTTCAGCTGGTAGAACCTTGGTCTCAACACCCCAGGGACCCTGCCTCTTCCTCCTTTTGTATATTCGCTCCTATCTACAGCCAAGCTTATTTTTCCTCCCATCGATTTTAAGTAGGAAACATACAGAACCTCTTCAGTTACATACATCCCGTCCCATCATCATGGGAGCTGGTCTGGGATCAAGGCGGGAACAGGCACTACGTCCCTCATGAAGTGTCGGCAACCTGCTCTCTTTGATCGTCCTCGGGAAGGTAGACGCACCTCCTGAGCACTCTGCCAGCTCACCTCAGCCATCTGTGCCTCTGAGGTCTGATAGACACTTTGATCCAAACCCCTGCCTTTCTGTAGAGGGCACCCCACAGATCAGCACCGCAGGGAATCCACCTCCTGCCAAGGGACCATGTCTTGGCAGGAAGAGACCGGGCTGGAAGTGGCCTTCTTTCCCTGGACACAGGACCTACTAGGGGGACCCTGTGGCAGCTCCACCCTCTCTCCTAGCTGCATGCCTCCATTCTGGCTCTGGTGACATGAGCCAGACCAACTCTGGGCCAGGGACGGTGCAAAGCATGAGCCACCGCTTGTCTGGGTTGTCCTCACAACCACCTCATGAAGCAGATCTCATCGCCCCATTCTACCGATGGGAAAACAGACTCAGAGATGAATCCGACCCAAGTTTGTCCCACTGCAAGTCGGGGAGCTGGCGGGGAACAAGGTGTGCCTGGCTTAGGTTTCTAACTTATCTGCCCGCCCCTCCCCCTGCCCCTTCTCCTTGCCAGACAGGTGACCAAGGCCGAGGGTACGGCTCTGGCAGGCAGGTTCGGGTGCCTGTTTTTCGAGGTCTCTGCCTGCCTGGACTTCGAGCACGTGCAGCATGTCTTCCACGAGGCGGTCCGGGAGGCCCGGCGCGAGCTGGAGAAGAGCCCCCTGGCTCGGCCCCTCTTCATCTCGGAGGAGAGGACCCTGCCACAGCAGGCCCCGCTCACTGCCCGGCACGGGCTGGCCAGCTGCACCTTCAACACGCTCTCCACCATCAACCTGAAGGAGATGCCCACCGTGGCCCAGGCCAAGCTGGTCACCGTGAAGTCATCCCGGGCCCAGAGCAAGCGCAAGGCCCCTGCCCTCACCCTACTGAAGGGCTTCAAGATCTTCTGAGGCCACTCTCTCTGTCCCTGACTTGGTGGCTGGGCAGGGCTGTGGGACGAGGACTGGCTTCTCACCACCAGCATTTCCCGCTGGTGGACAGCTGACCCTTCCTGCAGGGCCAAGCTACGTCCCTGACAGTCATTGTGTGAGCTGGAGGGACAGGCAGGAATGCTGCTCCTGTTGACTCCAGATCCTTGTCTCCAGGGAACCTTACAGGAAAGCAGCCTCCGTGACAGCCCAGAAACGTCCCTGTAAAGCCTGCTGACATCACTCTCTGCTGCAGAAACAGCCGGCTGAGCTCTACAGAAGGTCCCTGTAGGTGTGTAAACGGAGCAGCCTGCGGGAGACAGCTGGGTTGCTAACGCCACCCGGTGGGCAGGAAGGGCATGGCAGGGACTGTTTGGGCAGCTGGCACAGGGCATTCCCATTGTCTTCTGATCTCACAGAAGCCTAGGCAAGGCCTGCGACTAACGACCCACCGTTTTCCCAAGAGGAATCTAGTCAGAGCGATCTTATGGGGCAGGCTAGCATAAATCCCAAGAAGGGGTATTTCCAGCACGTTTTGTCTCCTCAGCAAGAGTCGAAAGGCAGGTTATGGGTTATCTACTATACGGGGACCCCCAGGTTTCCTGCGCTAGCTGGCAGGGGGCCCATATTCCACCATTAGGGACTCTGTTCACAGAACCTCAAGATCTGTCTTCTCAAGTGTAATGATCAAAACTGCAGAATGGAGTCTTCTGTCCAGTGACCATCACCTAGAACTCCAGGACACCCAGTGAAGCACCCACAGGTACTTGTAGCGCGTCCCTGGTTCATCGGGAGAAACACAGTGTATAAACTACACCTGTGCCGTGTGATCTGGGAGAAAGAGGCGGCGTTCTACTCCTGTAAAGAATCACAGTCTTGCAAACCCACTGGGCACCTCTCCCCTGTCCTATATGGTTGCTATGAGTCAGCAGCAACTTGATGGCAGTGAAGATTTTGTTTTTTGCATTGTGGTATAAAGGAGCCCGGATGGCACCATAGTTAAAGCACTAAACTCTTAATAGAAAGGTCAGTGGTTCAAGCCCACCAGCTGTTGGAGGCCTTGGAAAGCCCAGGGAGAAGTTCCACACTGTTGTACAGGGTTGTCAGAATTGGCTCAGTGATGGTGGATTTCTGGTCGCCTGGTCTGGTGGACCCAATCAGTCCCCTTGGCAATGGGTCTGAGTGTTCAAAGGCCGCTTTTGTAAAGGAGAACCTGCAGGAGCTTGGGGTTAGTAAAGCACGTTTTACATGAAGTGCTTGGTGTTGCCATCTTCAGCTTATACCAAATCACAGGGACTCAGCTACAGGATCACGATATGCTCTTGGATGCTGAGGGGACTCGGGGTCCCACTTTAGAAGAAGGTGTTAGAAAAGTGTCCCAAGGTGGGAAAGTCCCACCGGGGATGGGGGTGTGTTGTGGGTTTCAACTCTGTTTACCAAGGAGCGCCTGGCTCGAGTGTTTTCTTGGGCCCAGGGCCCATGCTTCTGTAACGGTTCTAAGGCACTGCGGGTGGTAGGGATGAGCCCAGGAATTGGAATCCAGAGTCCCACTCCATCTCCTCTCAGCCGTCCCAGGAGTGTGGATTGCGAACCACAAGTCAGACCCAGCCTCTGGCTCCCTTTGATGGAGAAGCAGGCAGACAGGTCCGAGTGGAGCTGGGAACTCCTCCCGACCGCTGGCTGAGAATCCTGACCCGAGGTCCGCTACAGATTGGCACTCTTGTTCCAAGCTACCTATAGGTGTGAGCCACCATGGTTTGACCAAGCTATGCGATTCTAGCTGCCACCTTCAAAGGCATTTTTAATAAAAAGTGTGGTGGTTTTCCTAAATAACAATCTCAGTTGAATTGCCATTCTTTTCCTTTTTCTGGCTAACAAAAAATTAGGCTGCAAAACCGGAGACGTTTCAGGCCAGTGAGCCTGCCCAAGGCCCGGCCAGGGCCGGTCCTGCTCTGGACTCTCGCTAGCTCTCAGATTCTGCTGGGTCTGGAAGGAGAACTGAGGGGATGTCTCTCTCCTTTAACTCGATTACTCCTTGGTCCGAGTTTGGGGCTTCGGAGAGCAGAGTCTCTCTCTGGGCATTGACACCGTTATCGTCTTGGTTTGGGGCCTCAGCCAAATATAGGGCTCCTGGAGGTTGCTTTTCCAGTGGCAGCATCTTTCTATTTCTGCAAAGAGAGGAAGCGCTTTTGAATGTGTGCTCCCTGCGCTGGGAAGCTCAGTGGTTAGGGCAGGAGAGGGCTTGGGGGTGGGTCCCAACTGGGTTAGGGAAACCCCGTTGGCTGCTTTGAGAACAGCGGGGAGACACTGAGATGGACTGATGCTCCGTTGGCAGTGACACCACTGACCTGTACCCCGCACACGCACTGTCTCACCAAGCTCTCAGCGCCACCTATGAGCCACCTGATAAGCAACCCCCTCTACTGACAGGTGATAGAATGTGGCCCATTTGTGCTTTGCTTCCATCTCCGAACTCTGAATCCTGTGATCTTTCCACCAAGACACACTGCCCATGGTGTGGGTCCTGGGACCGTCACCCCACTTAGGGCAGGCAGGGCCTGGCCAGCTCACCCTCTGCCCCCTGAAGAAACTCTTTCAGGAAATCCCTGGGGAATTTCCCTACTTCCTTCTCCAGACCAGCTGACACACGCCAGCCAGCATGTGTGCCCCCTGCATTCCAGATGCTGTGGGAGTCCGCACTTCATGACATCACCAGCCTACCTTCCATTAGCTCTCCCAAATCCTCCTCTTCCCTCCATGCTGGTTTTCCTCACTACACTCCTAACCTCACGATTGTAGGGGAACCAGAGGGGCTCTGGCCCTCAGGGAAGTCTCCAGTTAGCCCTGGCTGCACGTGAGTCACCCTCCCTTAGGTCTGTTAGGTCAAAACCAGCCAAGGCCAGGCCAGCACTCTGTCCTTTAATCTTCCGCTTGGGCTCAATCTGTTGTGCATCCAGGTGCTTAGCGAGCATGGCAATGCTAAAACCTTCCCAAGAGCCTCAACTGATCTCTCTACTTCCCCCTTCGCCCTCCCCCCTCAACCATCACCCCTACCCCCTGTATTTGGCCTTGGGGTAGGGGAAGGCTACCTCTTTTACCCTATTTCTACATTGTCCACAACTTCCTGATCACGCGCCACAATCCCAGGAGGCAGAAGCCCCTCATCACTTCCTCTAGAGGTGAAGCGTTGGCTGAGAGGTGTTGAGTGGCAGAGCTGGGATTTGAACTGGGTCTATGTGACTGACGGCAAGGCCAGAGATCATAACAGACACAGCAGCCCAGGCTGGGGTGGTCATCAGGGAGGAGGCTGATGGTTCTTCTACCACCGCCCTCAAGAGGCCCTAAAGGCTACATTTTCCTGAACCAGACAGTGATTTGTCACAGCCTTTAGGTGACCCCTGCCTAGGCCCCCTCCAAAAGTCACCCTCAGGCCCCCCACCTCACCTGTTTGCCTGGATACTCCTTCTCAGGAGGACAATGCTTATGACGAACACCAGGAAGGCCAGGGCGAGGATGGCATAATTCCAAGGAGATGCTGTGGAGGGGCACACAAGACAGCTTTGAAGGAGGGGCCAGGTGCCCCGCAGGCCCGTAGATGGTAGGGTTTGCTCAGAGCAAACTCACCCATCAATTGCCCCCTGCTGCAGACGAGGTGCGGTGGGGAGCTGAGCCCCTGCTCTGGAAGACCACCCCTCGAAGAGAGAGCATGGCAAGACAGGCGACCACCTCCTCCACAGGAGGCCTCACCGTGAAGGTGGCACTGCAGTTGGGACTGTGAGAAACGAAAGGGCAGGGGCAGAGCAACTGCCCCGTCTTCAGGTTGGCTGGTGACCGGCCTTGTGTGGTTTGGGAAAGGGCGGCAGGGACAGTTGAGCTGGATTTATCATAACAACTGGCCACTGAGAATACATAAAGTGGCGACACTGAATTGGAATGGACAAGACGTAAGGCCCCAACCATCCTCAGAGTGCCCTGCATAGAATGCTGGTCCTCACACTGAGGGCCCAATTCCTTCACTTCCTGCAAGTCTGTCTTGCATGTCTCCTCCTCATCCACATCTTAATGTTGTTCTGTGCTGTTTGCATGGTTCTGACTCGTAGGCAGCCAGTGTCCCGGGGACAGAACACTGCCTGTTCCTGTCTCATCTTCACGACTGTTGTCAAGCTGAGCCCTTCGATGTAGCCTCTGTGTCGGCCCATCTCTCTCAGGGTTGTCCTTTTTTGGTTGACCATCTACTTTACCAAGCTTGATGTCTTTTACCAGGGGCTGGTCCCTCCTGATAACTTGTCCAAAGTGTGGAAGATAAGTCTCACTTCCCACACTTCTGAGGAGTGTCCTGGCTCACCTTTTTCCAAGGCAGACCTTGCTTGACCACATGGTCCAAGGTTGAAAGGCTTCTTCCCTTGTCACACACTTCCCATTCCTCTTCTCGGTTAAGTTCTCTTTTTATTACTCACCGCAAACACACGTGGCATTTTAGTTATTTTTCCTGATTATTTCCTGTCTCCTCCACTGTAATTGTGCACTCCATGGGGGACAAAGGTTTCTGTGTTTTATTCACTCCTGGAACTCCAGTGCCTGGCACATGGTAGGAGCTGAATAGACATTTGTTGAGTGAGTGGATAAATGAGAAGAGCGGCCATATCCTGAGAGGAGGGGCTATCATTCGATCCCCCATCCTATGACTAGCCCCACCTCTTGGTAATGGAACATGCAGCCTCAGGCCCCACCGTGGGAAAGTGCACATTCTATCGGGGGCTCCAGTCACGTGCTGTTCTTAGTATTGAGGAGTGCCACCATATATACACGCATACATACATATGTACATACACACGCGCATGCACGAGCATACACACATACGAGGGGGTACCCCCACCCCCCTCAAAAGGAAAAAGTTCCACTGGGCAGAGCTTTTGTAGTGCACATTTGTCCTGTTAGGTGAGCATCGAGCAACTCGCTCTGAGTCAGTGCATCCAGTGGCGTCTCCTGGGAAGGTTCTCTCTGGTCACAGTGAATTTTTTCGTAAAAGCAGTTGCACTCAAACCTGGTTTCTTCTGATGGCTGATTTAAGAGAACAGTTTGGCTGTGAAATTTTGTTTCCTGTTTGGGAAAAATGCCACAGAAACTGTTGTATGTTGAACACAGCTTACATGGACAACATTATGGGAAAAACTCAAGTGTTGGAGTGGTTTCCTTGTTTCGAAAAAGGTGAAATGTCAAGTTATGACAAATCTCATTCTGGACATCTGTCAACTTACTGAAGGGATGAAAATGTCTACTCATAGAACTTTTGGAGTTCGTTCCACCAGGTCAGACTGTTAATCAAGCTTTCTATGTAGAGGTTCTGAAAAGATTGTGTGACAACAAAGGCCTGATTTGCGGCAGACAGGGGACTGGTTTTGCCACCAGGACAAGGCACCTGTTCACGCAGCCATCTCGGTGCGCCAGTTTTGGGCAAAACCCAGCATGCCTCTCTTGCCGCATGCACCTGACTCACCTGCCCTTGCTCCGTGTGGTTTCTTTTTGTTTTTAAGAATGAAGAGGGACATAAAAGGGCAGCGATTTGACAACTTAGAAGAGGTAAAGAAAAACAAACAAACAAACAAACAAAATGAGGGAGGTGCTGTCAACCATCCAAACAGATGAGTTTGAAAAAATGTTCCAAGAATGGAATCACGGATTTGACAAATTATGAAGTGTAATGGAGAGTACTTTGAGGGTGATAATATTATTTTGTAAAAAAAAAAATTTTAATTTTTTGCTTTGGGGAAAAATTTTGTTTTTTTTTATACCGCCTCGTATATATATACAAACACAGACCCCAAATATCTTGCTACTTACCATCTTCTACCCGAAAAACCCAAAGCATCTCTTTCAGTAACTCCTGAGACACAGCTGGGTCTCTGGCAAACCCTTCACTGTGGTCCATGCTTCTCCTAGCTCAGTTGGGCTCCCCGCAACAGTCTTCAGAGCCCCTTAGCTCCCAGCTGTCCTTCTGGTCCACCACCCTTGGAAGTAAAGCAAAGTGTGATTGGAGCTCTGCTGCCAGGGAGTCCCTGGGTGGTACAAATCAAGGTTAAGTGCAGGACTGCTACCTGAAAGGGTTAATGGTCTGATCCTACCCAGAGGTTTATCAGAAGGAAGAACTGGTGGTCTGCTTGTGAAAATTCACAACTTTCGAGATGCCATAGAGCAGCATTGACTACACACAACTGAGAACAGCCATGCCCTAACCTAGACTGGAAACACCTCAAACTCCAGAGCCCAGGGGAGGGGAGAGGCAGAGACCATCGGATGAGAGAGACTCAGATCTTGGTTAAAACACATCATAGAAGGATCCTTGATGTGAGAACGAGGACAGAGCCATGCAGAGCTCAGCTTTATTTTTTTGCCCAGCACATATCCTCACCCAATTTATGCATTCCCCAGCACTTCTTTCGCTGAGGAAAAAAATAAGGAGCTGATGCCAAGGGCTCAAGTAGGAAGCAAATGTTTTGAGAATGATGATGGCAACAAATGTACAAATGTGCTTGACACGATGGATGATGATGTATGGATTGTGATAAGAGTTGTATGAGCCCCCAATAAAATGATTTTAAAAAGGAAAAAAAATTGGTGCTCATGGGATAGCCAATCACAAGTCCCTGCCTTTCCCATGTGACTGAGATGGGCCTATCACAGTCTTTTCTGGCGACTGGCACGCCAACAACCCAGACGTGAGGTTGCGAGACCAGCAATGCTCTGATGCTCTGACTGCTGAAACGTCTGATCCTGAAGCCCTCAATTCCGCACCCCGTCTTCAATTCAGGGATCAATTTTCAGCATTGGTTTCTGTGTTTGCCACTGAAGAACCTGAACCCATGAAAATCCATTTGTGCAAAATAAAGCTGGTTACGTGGTGCTTGCGAAATCTGTCAGAAGAACACAATTTTATGACGTTCTTGTATCCCCTTTACTATTACTCTTTTCCCAATTGAACCACACTTTCAATTAAAATAGATTTTTAGAAAGAAATTTTATATGAGGGGCTTCAGAAAATTCATGGAAAAATTCCATTACCTTTTTAATTCCATTTTTCTACAAGCTTTTTGTAGCCCTCTCAGCCATCCAAGCTACAATTGGTCTCTATTCACATGGAGCAGTACAAGAATAGATTCAAGCCAAATTCACTGCCACTGAGTACATCCTAACCATAGTGATCCTCGAAGACAGAACAGCCCCTGTGGCGTTCTGAAACTATCCCTTTCTGCAGGAGTACAAAGCCGCATCTTCTCACAAGGAGGGCTGATGGGTTCAAACTGCTGGCCTTGAAGTTAGCAGCCCAACACTGCACCCTAATTCACCACCAGGTCTCAATAACAGGAGCCGAGGAGGAAAAGGCATGTGTGGCTCACTGCCTCCTTTGCCATGAGAGCAGCACTGAAAGTTGCCTGGCCACCTTTATTATTAGAGCATATTACAGAAGAGCCCCAATCAAAAGAGACAATGCAAAACAAAATTTCAAATTCTCATAGAATATAGACTTTCTGGAGCCATTGAGACTGAATGAGTCCCTAAAACTATTGTCCTGAGATGATTTGTAAACCTTAAACCCAAAACTGAAGTCTTTAACTCTGGTTCACAGTGACTTATATAGGTACCCGAGGCTATAAATCTTTACAGAAGCAGAGGAGCAGACTGCCTCATCTTTCTCCCACAGAGCAGCAGGTGGGTTTGAACCACCAACTGTGGGAAACTGAGGACCTGGAAGGAGGTGTACATGGCCTGCTCCCAGCACTTGTGACCACAGGGCTTGGCACACCAGCTCTAGCAGGAAGCACACTCCGGCAGTCCGAAACATGGGGAAAGCGCCTCAATACGCAACATTGCAGGAAGGACGTTTCTCCACAGCTCAGTTCAGTTACTGCCAAGAGTGCCCTCAGCAGTTGTTAGCCCCAGAGTTAGCAGTTGTGAGCACCGAAGTGTGGGGGCCTCTGCCAGAAGGAACAGTTGGGTTTTTATGCGGGAAATCTAACCTGAATAATCAAGGTTTTGTCACTGGACCTCTTGATCAGGCTTATGTAATTACAACAAATCCCTGGTTATGAAGAAGGCGCATTTATCGGTCAGTTACTTTTACTCCCTTACATTTCTCTTTCTTTTTCTTAAATTATTTTATTGGGGGTTTGTACAATTCTTACACAATCCATACATACATCCATTGTGTCAAGCACATTTGTACATTTGTTGCCCTCATCATTCTCAAAACATTTGCTTTGTACTTGAACCCTTGGTATCAGCTCCTCATTTTTCCCCTCCCTCCCCACCACCCCCTCATGAAATGATGACTCAAGATTTCTCCTCCACTATTTATTTAAAAATCACCCCTCCAAAAAACACCTCCAAATCACTACCACCAAGTTGGTTCCAACACATAGTGAGCCTATAGGATGGGGTAGAACTGCTCCTGTGGGTTTCCAAGACAGTCACGTTTGATGGGAGTAGAAAGCCTCATCTTCATTGAACTCAAACCTAGGTTTCTATGTGACACACACACACACACACACACAGAGAGAGCAAGTGTTATATTGAATGGAAAACTTCAATGCATTTCTTTTCAGACAGCTGATAAGATCACGATAGCAACAATAATCATTTTGGTTACATAAAAAATAAGGGTACCTGTTCAATGAAAGAGGGAGCCCTGGTGGCATAGTGGTTAGTCATTGGGCCGCTAACTGCTAGGCCAGCAGTTCAAAACCACTAGGAGAAAGATGAGGCTTTCTACTCCTATAAAGAGTTACAGTCTCAGAAAACCATAAGGCAGTTCTACCCTGCCCTGTAGAGTCACTAAGAGTCGGAACCGACTTGGTGATAGTTGGGTTTGATTGAATGAAGAACACTATGAATAAGTAACAGATGTGTTTCCAATTGGAGCAAGACACTCCCAGCCTTAAAATCAAGAAGGGGCTGATATCTAGAACATACAAAAAATTCTTACAAATCAACAACCAAAACAAGACAAGACTTCCGTAGATGAACGGGCAGCGCTAGAAATAATTTAAAGACTAGAAAACCCTCACTGCGAGCAAGCATCTGGAGAAACACTCAACCCTTGGAATCAGAAGAATGGAAAAGAAAAACGAGAGATCACTTTACATCTGTGAGAGCAGTAGTGCCCAACCTTCCTCGTGCCACGGCCCTTTCATCCACCTCCTCCTGTGGTGGGGACCCTGACCGTAACATCATTTTCGTTGCTACTTCATCACTGTCATTTTGCTACTGTTATGAATCATCATGTAAATATCTGATGGGCAGGATGTATTTTCATTGTTACAAATTGAACACCATTAAAGCATAGTGATTCATCACAAAAACAATATGTAGTGATATATTGTGAAATACTTATTTCTAATGACAAATAAATGAGATTTTGTCTTGAAGCATGGAGTAGCATGGGTAACAGTCTTCATGCCGGGTACTCGTATGTGGGTGTATCTGCATGTGGGCAGACCCGCCTGGAGACGGATAGAGGAGCGGTGTCTCAGTTCCTAAGACCATCAGAAAGATGTGTTTTCCGATGGTCTTCGGTGACCCCTGTGGAAGGGTCGTTCGCCCCCAGGTTGAGAGCCGCTGTGTTAGCTGGCCATGGTCAGAAGGCTGGATCCCTGGAGGCTCTCTGGGTCGCTTGCCTTATACACTGAGAAAGGGCGTGTAACTGAACAGGTCTCTGGAGAGCAAATCTAACCAGCGGCTAGACCACCATTGTGTCGGAGCAGGACGCCATGGGCTTCCAATGGCCGTGTTTTCAGTAGTAGATTGCCAGGGCTCTGCTCTGAGCTATGTCTGCGTTTGAACCTCCAACCCTTTGGTTGCCGTGTGTCTTAGCTGTCTGTTTGTACCACCTAGGAACTCTTGAGAGCAAACTGGTCAAATTCAATATACACGCCACCCTTGATACAGCAGCTCCGCTCCTGAGTACACATCCCTAAAGAAATGAAAAAGACGTTCCAAGAGAGAAATCCAAAGCATGTACATGTGAAACAACACGTATTCCAGAACACACGTGTCTCTGGGGAGGAGGGGAACGGGAGCAGGTGGGGGACAAAAAGTGACAGAGAAACAAGACAGGGGCAGGCGGGGTTGTGAACAGGGGAAACCAAGGAGAAGCAGGGAGACCTCTCCAGGGAGCTGCCTCCTGGAGGTCAGACGTCAGCCAGGAACACACAAGGACAACCTGGAGACCATGGCCGGCCTGCAAACTAGCACGCCTTGGAAAAGGAGGAGGTAGAAAGCCGAGTCTGCGCCAGCACTCGGAGCTCTGAGCGAACTGAGGGAACAGCCACACATACTGAGGAAAGTGTGTGGGTGTGAATGCTGAGCCTGCTTCCTGTCCGTGTGTGTATGCATGCACGCACGCTCACTGTGGAGATGGAGGTGGAAGTCAGCCAGCAAGATCTAAGGCTGGAAATCAGGAAGAAAGGCCTTCTAAGACATTCCCACCATAGATGCACACTGGTTACCTACTTACTCGATGGCAGCGCCCGTTGGAATCCTGGTTTACCCACCTGTGCTTCCCCTGCAGGAGCCTGGTTTTCTATCCCCAGGAGACTGAGGAGGCTCACCTGAAGCTTCAGTTCCTGGGATTCACCTGGATCTTTTCTAGGAAGCAGCACTGACTTCTGTGTCTCCCTCTGTCTCCTCCTCCTCACCAGAGCACTAGATGGTCTTTGCTCCTGAGCAGTCCCAGGCAGGCACACCTGTCACCTGGGGGCAGTGCCTACAGAGCCTAATGGCAGCTGGGCCTGGTTGGTCGCTGTGCTCTGAGCACACGCCCTGGCCTCCTGCGTTTCCTGCCACTCTGGGGTGACTGACCTCTCGGATGAGTGTCCTTGGATGGCAATCAAGCTCGGCCTGGTTTCACAATTCAATTCAAAAGAACCTCAAGCCCCTTCTGTCCTTATGTGGTGGCCTCAAGGGAAGAGAGGCATCTGGACCCTCCCAGGAGTCTGGAGGGATGGGCCAAGGAGGACCTACCATCTGGGCGCTCCGGCCTTGTCCCCACTCAAGGCCTGCATTGCTCAGTATGATCAATATTTAACCACGGGGCTGGGAGCGAAGCTTGGCCTTTTACAATCAGTGCTTTCTCACCGTGAAGGTCATGACATCATTGAGTTCCTTGCAAGGAGCTATAAACCGAGATGAGCTGCTAGGCTACATGAGCCCTGGTGACTCAGAGCAGGGGAAGCTGGCCAAGTCGAACAGAATGGGTGGGAAGCAGGCATGAGGGGCTCCCCACCCCCCACCACCCTTGCCCTGGCTAGACACAATCAATTCTGTGTCTGGGGGCTCTGGGCTTTTCCACCCACTGGCTCCTTGCAACCGCAGAAATCCTTGGTGCTGGCTCAGAAAGAAGTGGTGTTCCCATTTCACAAATGAAGAGAAGGAAAGAAAAAAATAAATAAGCTGAGTGAAATCAAGCAGCAGGTCAAGATCCTCTGAGTTACACACCGCAGAGTGACATGAATGGCAGCAATGGTGACAGTGGGAGCAACAGTGCGGGTGACAGTGTAGATGGTGTGGACATCGGGGGGATGACAGCATGGTACAGAGCAAAGGACCCCAGGGAGAACACAGGGACCTGCATGGAGCTGTGCATCCTGATCATTTGGTAAGTCGTTCTTTCATATACTACTGATTGAATACCTTCTAGGTCAATACGTGGCGAACAAGACAGATGAGAACACTGCTGTCTTGAGACGCATACCATAGGGGAGCCTGGCAACAAAGGCGTAAGCAAGAAAACTCGTAACTAAGGCCAGTGTCACTAGAAACAAAACCAGCGCCAGAAAAGAGAAAACATGCTGCCGTCGAGCCGACTCTGAATCCCAGCCACCCTACAGGGCAGGGTAGGTCATGTGTGTTTCGGAGACTAACTCTTTACAGGAGTCGAACACCTTCTCTGTCTTTCTCCAAGTGACTGCTGGTTTTGAACTGCCGACTGTTCACTTAGCGGCCTTACTCATACACACTGTGCCACCAGGTTCCTCCAGGCTAATTTCAGCTAGTTATAAGTTCTGTTGAAAGTTTAAACAAGATAGTGTATAGAAAGAGACAGGGCGGGGGAGCTAAAATTTCAAAATCGTCAAGGACAGTCTCTGCGGAGCTGATATTCATGCTGAAGAAAAGGAATGAGGGAAGACCTAATGCCCGGGTTCAAGTGGAGAGGAAATGTTTTGAGAATGATGAGGGCAATGATTGTACAAATGCGCTTTACACAATTGATGTGTGTATGGATTGTGGTAAGAGTTGTATGAGCCCCTAATAAAATGATTTAAAAAAAAAAGAAAAGAAAAGGAATGAGGAGACACTGACATGGAAATCTGTAGGAGGCTGAGGAAATGGCAGGTGCAAAGGCCCTGACAGGATGATGAGCTTAACGTGTTTGAGAACCAGAGAGAACATGGACGTGGACGAAGCAGAGTAGCAGGGGAAGAGGCATGGAATGAAGTCAGAGGGCAGGCAGATGGCAGACCATGCAGGGCCTTGTCAGATAAAGTACGGAGAGAAGCCATTGAATGGTTTTAGGCAGGAAAGTGACATGATCGGACTGAGATTTTCTAAGATGACTCTGATTGCGGGGTGGAGCATGGATTGTAGCAGAGCCAAAGTGGAGCAAAGACTACTTGCATCTGTCGAGGAAAAAGATGGGTAGTTGGTTTGGATTTGGATGGTGGCAGTGGAGATGGTGAGAAGTGGTCACATTCAAGGTGCATGGTAGACACAGAGAGAAACTAATTCAACCCTAGCTCTTAGGCACAAAGGGAATTTATTGGCTCATATAACTGGGAAGGGCAGGGGTGGAGATGACCTTAGGGATGAATGGACCAAGGGCTTAAAACTCCTCAGCTCCCGCCAAGCCCCGAGGACGATGTTCCTGCTCAGAGCAGACAATGCACAGGAGGACCGTAGGGCTGGCCCCACCACGGGACATGGCACCCCTCACTGAACAATGATGCTGCGGGGACAGCACTGGAGACACAGTGCAAGGATAGCTCATTGTGTGGCCCCATCACACTGGGGCGAGGCACTGAGGGCGAGCAGCAGGGGGAGCAGAGAGATGAACCCCCTGGGGAATATAAAAAATAGACTTGGGAGACAGAGCATGGCACCCCATCAGACTCGACTGGAAAACACTCGTAGGCCAACAAACAGACCTTGAACTATTCATAGGCTTTTCCATTTTTGTCAATGGCTTTCTTTTTGTGATTGTTATTTTGTTCTTGCTTTCTGCTGTTGTTGTTATTGTTTTGTTGGTTTTGACTTCCTTTCTTGTTTTATTTGGCTTTGCCTGGTTTTTGCACTTATTAATGTATCTGCATGTCTGTCTAGGTAAGCTAGGCCTTGTGCTCCCAACACACCTTTACAGGCAGAGTCCCTGAATCAGGAAGACTCGGACTAGTAGAGAGACGATGCACAAATGGTGACAGGAGGGAACATGTAATTATAACTTCTATGTGACAAGGGACACAAAGGGACGATCCTCCAGGTGCTGTGGGTTCAAGTAAATAACAGCTGCTATCATGTCTGGATAATTTAGAAGAGTCTTTATTTGGGTATAACCAGACTGCTAGAATCTAAAAGCAATTCTTTTGATTGCAGTCCCGAGTGGAAATCTTAGTGAGTTTATAAAGACAAATATTTATTTATCATCTATCAGGGCTGTGCCTATAGAGTGCGCAGGTATACCAAAAGCAGACAGTAAAATTAACATTAACATTCTTTAGAATTAGTTGGCCTTACAGGGTGTAGGATTGATTATAACATCTTGCTTACAACATTAAAAGGATCAATATTAACAATAACAAGCTTAATTACCATGTTCTAATTCCATGTACACAGGAGTACATTTTGAAATCAATCCCAGTGGGACTTTCTGAGATGGGAGGGGGAAGGAGGCAGGTCATTCGGCAATCAACAACATGGCATCACTTTTGTCCGTTTTGCCCCACCCAGGTATGCGAGCCAAACTCTCCTGTCCTCAGAACTCCAGATACCATTTCTGCATCAGTTTATCTTACCCTGGATCTCCTTTCCTGAGTGCTCCAGTCTCCAGAGCTAAGAGTCAGAGGGGAATTAATGGAGTTGGAGAGGTTTTTGACTTTTCTGCTGTTCTAATATCTGCCTTCCCATAAGCCTGATGCTTCAGCGTATAGGCCACCTTCTCAAGGAAAACTCCCTTATGAATTAAGGAGCATGTTGGGTCTGAATAACCAAGATCCAATTGACGTGGCTTAAATCCACAAGGGTTTATTTTTTTATTTTTTCATATGAGAATCCAGAAGCAAAAAAAAAAAAGAATTCCAGAAATAGCCAGTTACTAATGCCAGAATCACAAAGATTGAGGTTTCTGAGGTTCCCCCAGCCTTTCCCTCTTGATCCAAGGATGGCTGAGGCAGTTCCGGCTACTATGTTCAATTCCTTGCCATTTCCCCATCCATTCTGTAGGGAAGGGCTTTCCTTTGCATAGAGATTTTACCTCATTTAGTAGAAAAGCTAACTGACTGGTCCCAAGTGGAAATCTACCAAGTTTTAAGAGCTTGGGCTTTGTAATTACTCGACTGGCCTCTTTATAACCATTCTTAAAATACCTTCCTGTTCATTTCTCTTTAAAGTTTATCTGGAGAAAAAATTGTTCTTATCTCCACCCCACCCCACCCCAAAAAAAGCTTATATGGCTTGATAGAAGTTGAGGTTCCAGTGGAGGCCACATAGATAGTAGTAAAGATGGGCTGGGTTAGAACTCAATTCTTTGTTTTAAAAAGAATTTTATTGGGGGCTCATACAACCCTTATCACAATTCATATATCCCTCCATTGTGCCAAGCATATTTGTACATTTGTTGCCAACATCATTCTCAAAACTTTGCTTTCTACTTGAGCCCTTGGTATCAATTCCTCATTTTTCCGCCTGCCTCCCTGCTTCCTCCTCCCCCATAAACCCTTGATAATTTATAAATTATTACACTGTCCAACATATCCCTTCACCCACTTTTCTGTTGTCCATCTCCCAGGGAGGGGGTTTATATGTAGATCATTATAATCGGTTCCCCCTTTCCACCCCACCCTCCTTCCACCCTCCCGGTATCGCCACTCTCACCACTGGTCCTGAAGGGTTCATCTGTCCTGGATTCCCTGTGTTTCCAGTTCCTATCTGTACCAGTGTACCTCCTCCGGTTTAGCTGGATTTGTAAGGTAGAATTGGGATCATGATAGTGGGGGTGGGGTGGGGGAGGAAGCATTTAAGAACTAGAGGAAAGTTGTATGTTTCCTCGTTGCTACCCTGCACCCTGACTTGCTCGTCTCCTCCCCGTGACCCTTCTGTAAGGGAATGTCCAGTTGCCTACGGATAGGCTTCGGGTCCCCACTCCCCTCTCATTCACAGTGATCTGATTTTTTGTTCTTTGATGTCTGCTACCTGATCCCTTTGACACCTCGTGATCGCACAGGCTGGTATGCTTCTTCCATGTGGGCTTTGTTGCTTCTGAGCTAGATGGCCGTGTGTTTATCTTCAAGCCTTTAAGATTCCAGATGCTATATCTTTTGATAGCCAGGCACCATCAGCTTTCTTCACCACATTTGCTTATGCACCTGCTTTGTCTTCAGCGATCATGTTGGGAAGGTGAGCATCATAAAATGCCAGTTTAATAGAACAAAGTGTTATAGCATTGAGGGAGTATTTGAGTGGAAGCCCAATGTCCATTTGAGACCTTATTACTAAACCTATAAATATATGCACATAGATCTAGTTCTCCATCATCATATATAAATATATTTACATATGTACATGCCTATAATTAGACCTCTACAAATGCCCTTTGCCTCCTAGTTCTTTCCCCTATTTCCTTTTACTTTCCTCTTGTCACACTAGCATGCTCAGCCTTCATTTGGGTTTCAGTAATTCCTTCAGTTACATTGCCTTTGATCAAGCCCTACCAGGCCTCTTACAACCTCCTCGCCACCCATTTTGGATCACTTGTTGTTCTATTGCCCCTGGGTTTCTTAACACCACTTCCTTTTCCTCACCTGCCCCTCTCCCATGTCCCCCTGGAACCATCGGTCCCATTGTTTTCTCCTCCAGATTGCTTATCCCACCTATCTTATCTAGATAGACCTGCAGAAATAATAATATGCACCAAAATAAGACAGAGCAAAACAAAGCAACAAAAAAAACAGAAAGAACATCAACAACAAAAAAACAATGACAAAAAAGAAAGAAAAGCCTGTCAATAGTTCAAGGTCTGTTTGTTGACTTTTAGGAGTGTTTTCCGGTCGAGTCTGATGGGGTGCCATGCCCTGTCCCCAAAGTCTATTTTTGGTACTCTGTGTTAGTCTGGGTACATTAGAGAAACAAATCAACGGAAACTCATGTATAAGAGAGAGTTTTATATGAAGGTTAAGTGCACATCAAGAAAACATCCCAACCCAGTGCTGCCAAGCCCAGAAGTTCAACATTAACCCGTATGTCCAACACCAATCCACAAAGTCCTCCTCCATCTCACAAAATACACACTATGAAGCCGACTGCAGGAAGAAAGCCGAATCAGTGAACGTGTGAGCATCTCGGCGCTGGCAGAGGTCTCCACACGGCTGCTCTAGCACCCAGGGCTGC